AGGATAAGGTAACCACACTGTCCGGCTCATAAAAAACAGTATCACCGGTGCTTATCTTGTCAACAAAAAGACTGGGAGCGGCCATCTGCAGGTGCGCGCTGTCTTTAAGCGGGATAATGCCCAGCCCCTGCATGGTGGTAAAGTAGGCAGTGTCTCTGCACACATAAATATCTGTGACATTATCTGACGGCAGGCCGTCATAGAAAGTATAATGCTGGGTACTTTTTAATTGCCAGCGCCGGTCAAAGATCATAGAATAGGCACCATCGTCTGTAGCGATCCAATAGGTGCTGTCGTTTTGCTTGTAGAGCCGTCTTATATGTTTGGCGGTGCTGCCCTCCGCTATTTTCACCGGCCGGATATTGCCCGGTGTTCCATGCATCATAAACAGCCCTTGCGCATTGGTACCTATAAATACATTGCCATCCTGCACGGTAAGCAGATCGGTTATATTACAATCCCTGAGCAGCGGATGATCCGTTTTCGTTGCCTTGCTGCTCAGCGTACGTTGTATGTATAACCCGTCAGGTGTACCAATGAGTATGGTGCTATCGGGCAATACATCCACCGTCGTTGCTCTTTTATAGAAGATATGTTTGAGCGGCGCGCCCTTTACAAAGGGCGTGCGGCTGTAAAATAAGCCGTTCGGGGTCGCAATCAGGAGGGCTTTGTTCCCGTAGTAGCAGAGGTCTTTACATAATACCCGTAAACCCAGGTAAGTCACCTTGCGCGTGCTGATATCGAATAGCGCTACACCATTGCTGAAGAGCACGAAACGAGTATCATCCAATGGCTGTATATGCCTGCTCCCCCCCACAAAATTTCTGTCCAGGCTGATGGTCGCAGTATCATGATCCCGTACACAGATCAGCTGATTTTGATTGTAGTAACTAATGCAAATGCCGCCTTTCCCATTACCGGCAATCGCCTGGGGTGTCGCTTTAGTATAAGGCATACGGCTGGTGAGCAGCAGGTTTCGAAAATGTTTTTCAGATAGAAAATACAGCGCATTATTCGGCGTGGAGATCCATATATTATTGATGTGGTCAATAAAAATGCTATTGATCAGGACGGGCTCCCGGAAATGATAGGGCGTGGGTTGAGCTGCTAAATTCTTTATATCATTATAAACGAAGATACCACCATCGGGTGCTGCAAGTTTTAGCCAGATACGACCTTTCAGATCGATGGTAATTATCGGTCTGCCGAATAACTCTTTTACTGGCAAGGGTACTGTTCCGGCTAAATGCAGGGTGCTGTCGTTGAGCCGGTACTTAAAGAAATACAGCCTTTTTGCAACCGCATTGTAGGTGGTCATATAATCGTAGTTGGGGCCGCTGGTAAAGATCTCCCCATAAACAGCACTGGCCATTTTTTGCCCGGCACTATCCCTGAAATAATGATAAGCGCCGGCATCAAGATCATACCTGCCCAGGTAACAATCAGCGCCGGTACACCGGCTGCCCAGGAAGCAGCGGTTGATAACCGTGTTGAAACTGATCGTAGTGTCGTTTACCGAATAATGTTGTATCTGCTTTCCCTTGAATAGATGCAATATGTTCAGGCGGCCACCATCGCTCAGCCAGAATGTCTTGGTTATCGGATCATGATAATTATTGTTGTGCCCCGCCTGGATCTGCCTCAGTGCCGTATCCTCCTTAGCAGTTACCAGTCCTCCCTTTTCTACATAGCTGACCGTATTGAAGAGCGGGATCAATAAGATACGGCCGGCACCTAACGGACAGCAAAACAGTATTTCCTTGTC